AGCCCCCCTCCAGCTTGCCCATCCTGAATGTGGGTGCCCCTGCCGCCGGCATGAACGCCGCCGTCAGGTCGGCCGTGCGGATCAGCATCTGCCAGGGACACACTGTCTATGTGGTGAGCGACGGCTTCGAGGGCTTGTCCAAGGGGCAGGTAAGGGGGACGATGAGCCTGGGTGCCATGCATTTCCCAGGGGGATGGGTTTGGGCTTGGAGGGGGTGGTGGGGTGCTCCCCCCACCCCAAAACTGAGCGCTGCTGCTTTCAGATCCGCGAAGTGGGCTGGCATGATGTGGCAGGCTGGCTGGGACGCGGCGGGTCCATGCTGGGCACCAAGCGGTAAGCACAGCCCCAGGGGGGCCAGGGTATGTAGCAGAGGGGACACCACTGTCCCCGGGGATTGCGGGGAACCCCTGTCCTCACCCCACAGTCTCTCCTCCCCTTCCCCACCACAGGACGCTGCCCAAGACCTGCATGGAAAAGATCGTGGAGAACGTGCGGAAATTCAACATCCAGGGGCTGCTGGTCATCGGGGGGTTTGAGGTGCGGGGGAAATCCTCAGCCCTGTTTCGGTGGGGTTGGGGTGGGCTGTCAGCATCCCAGGCGGTGCAGGCACCCTGGGCCATCCCTTTTGGGATGCAGATCCAGCCCCGGGGCCAGCATCTCCCCAGCCCTCGGCTGCTTGCAGGCATACGAGGGGGTGCTGCAGCTGGTGGAGGCCCGCGGGCAGTATGAGGAGCTCTGCATCATCATGTGTGTCATCCCCGCCACCATCAGCAACAACGTGCCCGGGACTGACTTCAGCCTGGGCTCGGACACGGCTGTCAACGCGGCCATGGAGGTGAGGGACAGGGCAGGGGGCAGGCTGTCCCGCTCCGCCAGGTCCCATCGTGTTTTGGGATGACATGCGGGAATGAACCAGCATCCCGTCCTGGGCAGCAAAGATGGGTTTTCTGGGTGTGATTCCCCCCCTTCTCCTGGTGCAGAGTTGTGACCGCATCAAGCAGTCAGCCTCAGGCACCAAGCGCCGCGTCTTCATCGTGGAGACGATGGGGGGCTACTGCGGGTACCTGTCGACTGTCACCGGCATCGCGGTGGGCGCTGACGCCGCCTACGTCTATGAAGATCCCTTCACTATCCATGACCTGAAGGTGAGCGGGGCAGGGGGCTGCTTTCTGGAAGCATTGTTTGGGTAAAATAAGAAGGAAAACCAGGGAAGAGAGGGCTCTGGGGCAGGGCAGGATTTGGAGGAGCATGGCCAAGCCCAATGAAGCTGCTGGGTTGATGTTAGTGGCACTTGGGTCCCAACGAGAGGACTGGAGCGACCCAGGATGGCTGCCAGCATCCTGGCATTCATCTTGCAGGCCAACGTGGAGCACTTGACTGACAAAATGAAGACAGATATCCAGAGAGGGCTGGTGCTGCGGTGAGTTGGGGACCCCTGTGGACACTCACTGAAAAACCCAGCCCCGTGGCGGGGAGCAAGGCTGGAGCTGAGCCCTTCCCATGGCTGGAGAGGTTCCTTGGGTGCAGTGAGGTTCAGCGTGGTGGGCACACAGTATCCTGCCTGAGGATGCCACACTCAGCCAGGGGGGACAGTCCTGCACTGGATGCCTCCACTGCCATCCCCACCCCAGCCCCAGGGTGCTGCTGGGGAGATGGGCTGGGGCTCTGGGCCTCAGGGAGAACAAAAGAGAAAAAAAAAGGTGTTTAGAGCAGCATGGAGGGACCCCCTGGGGATGCCAGATTAAGGAGCAGCCCCCCAATCCCTTCCCTCTGCTTCCCCAGCAATGAGAAGTGCCACGAGCACTACACCACTGAATTCCTCTACAACCTCTACTCCTCCGAGGGCAAAGGCATCTTTGACTGCAGGATTAATGTCCTGGGCCACCTCCAGCAGGTATGGGGGACAGAGCCACATGGGCCACTACTGTCCTCAAGAGCTGGGCGGGCTTGACATCACCATTTCTTTGTCCCCAGGGGGGAGCCCCAACCCCCTTTGATCGCAATTACGGGACCAAGCTGGGAGTGAAGGCGGTGCTGTGGATGTCGGAGAAGCTGCAGGAGGTCTACCACCAGGGTGAGCCAAGGGCTTGGGGTTCCCATGGTGGGGTGGGGGGAGGCTGGTGGCACTGGGCAACCCCTGCTGCTCTGGGCTCTGCCACTCGGCCCCCAGCGAGATGGCCATGGTTGGCTGTGTCCCCATCCTAGGGCGCGTGTTTGCCAACTCGGGTGACTCTGCTTGCGTGATCGGGCTCAGGAAGAAGGTGGTGGCCTTCAGCCCTGTGACGGAGCTCAAGAAAGTCACTGATTTTGAGTAAGTCCCTGTCCCCATGCCCCGCTGGTTCACCAGGTCCTGGGGGGACCTTCCCAGGTTGTCCCCAGGGCCACTCAAGAGCCGTGTCCCCCCGTGCGCAGGCACAGGCTGCCGCAGGAGCAGTGGTGGCTGAACCTGCGGCTGATGCTGAAGATGCTCGCCAACTACCAGATCAGCCTGACTGAGTATATCTCGGGGAAGATGGAGCACGTCACCCGCCGCACGCTCAGCATCGAGAAGGGCTTCTAGTCCCGCCAGCCCAAGACGTAGCCCCCCTCTGCGTCCTCTCCATCCCTACGTGCTGCTCAGGGAGCACCGGGTCCCCCCTGTTCTCAGTAGCCTTGTAGCTTTGCCACCAACTCCTTAAAGCAGGCAGAGCCTGGTCCCGGCTCTCAAAACAGCACAATCCTGTCCCAAGTCGCTGGTCCAGGGTATGGTCCCTGTGCAGATGCAGAAAAGAGGTGTTGCTAGAGCCCACCTGCACAGCCCAGACCCTTAATCTTCCCTTAATAGTTTATTCCTATTATTTAATGATGGAGTATCTTGATTCCTTATTTAGCGGCTTGACCACCTGAGCCAACTGCTGCTTTTAGTTGCCTGCCTTGCGTGCGGGAGGGGAGCTGAGGAGGATGTGGTGCCATCCCAGAGTGGGTAGGGGCTGGTCCCAGGGGCTTTTGGCTGCCCTGTGAGCCCCGGTAAAGCTCCATCCTCCCATGGCATTTGCCCAGTGGGGTGTCTTGAGGGCTCAGTGCAGAGCACCAGTACTGGCAAGCCCCTCTTCCCTGGCCACCTTGCATGACGCTTGGCTGCAACTGTCACCACGTGGCCCTGGGTGCTGTTCCCGTCATCTCACCGCTGCTCTGTGACGCCTGAAATCTTGTACCGTTTGCGGTGCTGCTCTCCTCTAGAGATAAAACCCACTGAAGCCAAACCTGCCTCACCGGAGAGTGGTCATTGCGTGCCGAGTCCCCGCGGGGAGGGAAGTGGGGGCCGACCTGGGGTGAGGATGGGGGGACAGTCCCTGCAAACAAAGACAGATGGTTTGATGGAGCTGGATTAATGCCGCGTCAGGAGGTTTCCCTGCTTTGTGCATCCTCAAAGCCTGGGAGAGTGAGACCACAGGCGGCCTCTCACTGCCCGGGCCGCAGCGGGTGCAAGGTCAGCATCCCTCTGCGGGCAGACTTCGCAATCCCGGAGAAAAATTGCTTCTCCCTTGTTTTGGTTCCCACCTTCAAAGAAAGTGCAGAAGTGATTTATCAAGGCGATGTGTTTGTTTGTTAATGCAGTTTCTCAGGGCAGCTGCCAAGCACGCTGGCTCCCGCATGCAGTGCTCAGGCTTGGCTGAGCTCTGCCGTGCTCAGCCCATGCCAGATGGCTGCGTGTAGCCCCTTTCCCAGGCCGCTTTCCTCCTGGGGCTTTCTGCTGACAGCTCCAGCCTCTGGGCCATCGCCAGCACCAGGATGCATCACAGTCTTTTGGGTCGAATGTGTGGTTATTTTTTCCTCCCCATGAAGTTGTCCCCAAGTGACAAGTCCTCCCTGATTTCAGTGCTTTTTCCCCTAGCTGGCCACATTACTTGTTTTAGGCTCTGGATGAAGATAATTATTATATCTTCCCTGCCAGAGCTGGACACATGGAGAAACACTGTTTTCCTCACTGGTGGAGGCTGCTCTTCCTGGGCGAGTATCTGCTCTGGGGACCCCAGGCAGAGACCTGGCTGCTCCTCCCAGAGCCAGTGGGCTCTTCCACCATCCCGTGTGCCACTTTCGAGGAGCCCCATCTGGCTCCCAAGCAAGACCCCCCATCAGCCATGGACCCCTGCGCCGCAGTGATCCTGTGTGCCTGACTCGCCGTCGGCCTCCGAGAGTCCCCAAGGATGCTTTGAAAGCAAGTCGTGCTGGATCCATGCTTGCGGGCAGACAGCCGCTGGCATTTTCCATGACTGGGAAACGTCTGCCCTCACCGCTCGATATCCCCCGCTGAGGCAGGTCAGGGCAAAAGCAGGTCATACCAAAAAGCCCCACGGTTGTACTGTAGCCCGGGTGGAGCCTCGTGCCCGGGCGCAGCTGGCAGGTCCTGAGCATTCAGCTCTTCTCCAGCGCGCGTCTTCTCCAGCCTGGCACTCGCAGCAACAGGCAGGGCACAGCACCACAGCCCTCCAGCAGCCAGGTTTAGGTTGTGAATGGGGAAGGGGGTGTCTCCACACTCAGACCAGCTGCACATTTGGATGCACTTGGGGACAGGGGTCGCTGCAGCCCTAACACTTTGTTTCTACCCAAAAAAAAAGGCTGGAGTGCCAAATTCCTGGGGGGGAGACCAACAGGTACGGCCCCACATCCCATGGGGAGCAACCACCTGCCAGGATGAGCAGGAGGGGTGTGGTGACTGTGCACCCAAGCTTACCGGCACATCCGGCCCAGCCCCAGTTCCCCCCTGTCCCCAAAGAGAGGGCAGTGCACAAAGCCATGAGCATCCTGCAGTGAAAGGCAGGCTGCCAGGTCCCTGGAGTGAAAAGGCATGAGCCGAAGGGGCCAGCCTCCCCCCAGGCTGTGCCAAGAGCACGCGGGATGCTGCAGGATCACCCTGCATGAAGTGGTCCGGAGTATCAAGGGCAACTTGCCTGGCAGCTGGAGCACCCACATCAGCCAAGTATGACGAGTGCGACACATAAGTGGCAAGCTCTGCTCGGGGACAATTGTGCTGTTGGGGATTAAGAGCCCAACTTCTCCAGCAGAGAGAGGAGGAACTGTGCCAGAGCAGCCTCAGGCCGTGGCGATTGCTCCATTAACCACCTTCACCACAAACCAGCCCTGATGACAAATGATGACGCTTGCTTTGACTACTCTCCTCCCAGTAAAGCTGGGGAGTCCAGCACACCCAAATGGCAGCTCCCCTGTTCCCCGATGTGGACAGGCGCAACTTCTACCACCGAGCAGGCTGTCAAGACAGCCTGGGAACGGACTTGCCCTCAGCACAAGGGCAAGATGCAAACAAGATGACGGGCAAGTCTCTCAGTGGCTGTCAGGGGAAGTCTGGTATATTATAAATCACACTGGCCATTTAAATGCAGCTGGGTTTAATGCAGAAGGCAAGAACTAGGTCATTTGAGGAGTTAAAGGCATCAGCACTCTTCACCCAAGTGATGAGGGTCAAACTGTGCCCCCTCCCACCAAGGTCAAGTAAACAGGCTTGCAGACACAGGGCTGTCACCATCCCCAAGGAGCGTTCGTTCCTGGCAGCATTAGCCAGCATGCGGGGGCTTGGACACCCGTACGAACAGGGAGAGTGGGGACACAGAAAGGCCACGCTGCCCTACACAGCGCCAGGGTCTGCAGCTGAGTGGCACCGAGGGTTTGCGTCCTATGTCTCAGGGGCCATCGTCCTGCCCAGGCGAGCTTTGCAGCTCTGCATGAGCAAGTGAGCTTTGCTCACAATGTCTTTTGCTTCCTGCGCTCGGTGTGGACTTGTGGCTGCAAGGAAGTTCCCAAATAGCACACTGCTTTTGAAAAGCAGCCCTGCAGCAAGCTCCATGCAGTATCAACAAGCGCTGGAGGCGGGTGAGCCATTTCACGGGTCCAGTGAAGCGGGAGGGCGTGGGGGCCCACAGCCCTCCTCCTGCTCGGCAGGGCTGACAATGCAAGCCGTGAACCAGACGTAATGGAGCAATGCCCCGAGTCAGTTATTCTCACTATGTTTGCTGAACCCCAGCCACAACTTACATGTCCTAGAGGGATAACTGGTTTTATTTGGTATGTCACAATGTTTTAGTTTGCATTTAACAGCTCTATAACATCTTAGTAAATGCAGCTTTTTCAGTTAAAGAGAAACACCACCCCTGATGCCTGTGCAAACTGGACAGTAACACGTGGCTTGTTTTCTCCTAACTGCAAAACGCACAGGAGCTTTTTACTCTGACGTTAAGTTTCCTTAAGCTGCTCTAATGCCTGCAGGGGCATGTAGGGGTGAGAGTACAGCTGAGCATTCAGGATCTGGGAGAGAGTAATTTCTGTTTCACCTAGGCTGCACCGAGCTTTTCTTTGGGCCACCTGACTGCCAAGTCAGATGCTACATGCGCTAACGAGGACCAGAAGAGAAGTCAGGAGTTGAAGATAAATTAAGAATTTGACATTGACCTTCACAATCTGCACCAGACAGTTCTTGGTGATCATTTCAGGCAGTGTCTCCCCAACAGACTTTACAAAAACAAATCTTTGTGGTAGAAGCTGCCTTCAGAGTCTGCTACACACAAGCAGAGGCTGGCCGAGGGTTAGTCTGACAGGGAGCCACCGACACGCAGTGACCTTTCTAGCCGCCAGCAGGCTTTGCCATCCCCCTTCGATCACACAGCACAGCAGCACCTCTCACTGCAGCCCTGCTCACTTTTGCTTTGCTGATTCCCCTGCAGCTCCCATCAAACAGCCCCAGCGACACGAGACACAAATGTTAACGGAGCCTGCTACGCAAGCAGGAAAGCTCTGGAGAGCCACATCAGGTGCTGCCAGCCCCAACGTGATGTGCACAGCCAGGGGCGATGTCAGGAGCTATAGGGGCAGCCAGCAGCACCCCGTCCCAGCCCCTTCGCAGGGGAAGCGCAGCGGGAAACACCGAGGCTTTGGCTGTAGCCAGGTATGTGTGGGAAGAATGGCGCTGCGGGTCTGGGGCTGGCTGGTGCTCCAGGGAGGTTTGTAAATGGGCACCATCACTCCTCCTGCAGCTCCTTCTTCCGAAAGGCCTGGAGCCTCCTCCCCACTGTCTGCTGGACAACCTCCAGACCCTCCGCGTCCAGTTCCTTCATGAGAAGCAGGATGGCATTCAGGACATTGTTCTGTTGGGACAAGACAGACAGTGCTTTATTACAAGCATGTTAACGCCAGCCTGGGAAAGGACACTTGATTTTCAAAGAGCTGCTCTTTCTAGGAACTACATCACCACCACGGGCAGGGGTTTGCAACAGCCACCTGCAGCTACAGGGACAGATCAACCAAGCCCTCGGGGCAAACACGGGCAGAGACTGCATGTGACAAGGCTAACTGGAATGCAGGACAAACCCGTCCGCCCAGTCCAGCACAGACTGCCCACATGGCTCTGGCTCCTGGCCACCCTCCCAACTGGCTTCTGTAAGGAAAGGCACATTCAAGAGCAGCCGCCCCCTCTCTCCAGCGTGACCGCATGCGAGGGGCAAAGACAGGAACCCTCTCATCTGAGGAATAAGAAGAGCTGGTAGAATTGCAAAAGCACAAACTGTAAGGAACCCTTGAAGGTCCCCAGCCCAAGCTCTCACTAACGCAGGACTACTGCCAACACCAGACCATGGCTCTGTCAAACCACGTCTTGAAAAACTCCAGGGAGAGATTCCACAGCCTCTCTAAATAACTGTCCTTCTAGGCAAAATCTTTTTCCTAGTGTACAAACTGAACCTCCCCTTGTTTAATATTTTGTTTTCCCAAAGGCCAGAGCCTGCAGTACTACTCATGGTGCTGCAAAGCAATATACTCAAGTACGTTTAAAACATGAACGAAGAAAGATGGCAGGCAACTAATATCAGAATGAGGCAGAATGTGGTCTAGATCTCACCCTGTCTGATGGGACTGAGCCCAGCAGACAGCAACTCCCAGCTGAACAGCCAAAATCCATGAGGTTCATCCAAGGCTACACCATGGAGGGGTCTTAGGAACCACCTAAGCTTTCAATTCAGCAGTCCTGTCTACCAAGCCAACAGCCTGCCAGCTGCATTTCAGCCGCTGCCCAAATACCATGTTCTTAGCACAACCCCAGTGAAGGGACACACGTGCTCACGTGCAGACAGATCAAGAGGACAAATCC